TTTATACATTTTTGTTATTAAAATACATTTTTTACTGTCTTTATGATATCTATTATAAAATGTGATTTACTTTATGGCAGTATCAAGTGGCTCAGCTGTATTCTGTAGCAGAAGCTAGCAAAAATAATACTGGAGGAGGAGAGGGTATACAAGTACTAAAAAATGAGCCATTCACAAATTATCCTTTGCTTGGTGGCAAATATTCTTCAGGTCAATATACATACAAGATTTATCATTTAGCTAGTAAAGTGCCTGCTTTTATTCGCATTATGCTGCCAAAGAATTCCTTAGAAATTCATGAGGAAGCTTGGAATGCTTATCCTTATTGCAAAACGGTCATTACTGTAAGTACAATTTGTTCACAAAAATATTCCTAATGATTTTCTGATGTGTATTTTTATCTATTATTATCTTTTGTACAGAATCCTGGATATATGAAAGAACACTTTGTAATTATGATCGAATCATTTCACATTGATGATGTTGGAAATCAACATAATGTGTGTATAAAAATTAAAAAAAATGCTTCATTTTGTTTTTTATGTATTATATTATTATTTTCTAATTAATAGGTTCATGAATTACCTCCTGATAAATTAAAGATAAGAGAAGTAATACATATAGATATTGCAAATGATCCAATTGCAAGTACTGATTACAAAGAGGATGAGGACCCAACCAAATTTAAATCTGTGAAAACAGGTCGGGGTCCTCTTATAGGTAAAGATTGGAAGAATAATGTTCAACCTGTAATGACATGCTATAAGTTAGTCACTTGTGAATTTAAATGGTTTGGTCTACAAAGTCGTGTTGAAAACTTTATACAAAAAGCAGAAAGGCGTCTTTTTACTAACTTCCATAGGCAAGTCTTTTGTTGGATAGATCGTTGGTATGGTTTAACTATGGAAGATATTAGAGCAATTGAGGAAAGCACAAAAGAAGAATTAGATAGAGTAAGTAACTTTTCCACTTTAAATTACTGCAATTTATACCTCACACTTAATTGCAAACAATCTTTAAATTTTTCAGCAAAGAGATCAAGGAGAAGTAAGGGGTATGCGAGCTGATGATTGAGGCTTTGATAGCTTCTATTACGAATGGTTAAATCAATTTCCTTATATGTCTCAGATACATATGCATACCTATAGAAATACACTCACATATGTTTTGTCATAGGCGATCCTGCAGGATCGGGACAATTTCCAGAATTTAAGTGTCTAGATTCTGTGTCTACTACAATTACTTATGATTTTAATTTATTTACATTTACAAGCGTTTTAGATAAATGTATCTACAGTCAAAGATTATAATATAGCCAATAATAAGAGAGAGAGAGCTGATACACAGATCAGTTCAACTTATATGATGTATAAAATATTCAAGAAAAGAGTACAGTTCGATAAAAATCAATATAGGTGGAAAAAAATGTAATTGTTATTTAACACCATAGTAGTTCGATATTAAAATTTATAAATAAGTCGTTTGGAATGCTTGCTGCATAACACAAATAAGAACGTTTGACACAAAGATTGTGAGTCCAATGACAGTTCGCGATTTGTGTTTTAGATTCATTATGTTATGGTTTGAAGTCAAGAGAAACATCACTATATTTATATAACCATTGTTTTAATAAGTTTATATAACATGGCCTGAGGTTTTTCAAGCTCAATTATATAGTATGTAATAATCAGAAAAATTAAACAAAACTATTTTAGCAGTTCTATGAATGACAATTGATTTTGTGATAATTTACTAACATTCAATATTACAATTAGGAATAGATAAAATGACAAATGATTAGTAAATTATAATAATTGTGCTTTGCTTACGTTTCTTGCTTCTAATTAAGGAATTAAAAGAAAATCTATGCATCAAAATTAGGACCAACTCGATAAACCTTAATTAAATCAATTTTAATTATTGTACTAACATATTATTTGTGAAAAATATGAAAATAATTATATAAAATAACTGAATTGATATACAGATATACATATATATGAAAGAAGAAAAAACTATGTCAATGTGAAAGTCGGCAAACACTGAAAGAGTGCACTATTGTATATAAAAAGAGGCATACAATGAAATTCTGATTGAAATGTTACATACACTTATATATTTCTTTGCATTCCAATAGATCTCTGTACAACAAATGGAATTTAAATGTCATATCCAACACGTTTGCTTATGCAAAAGCAAAGAAAGAATTCGGTAAGAATATAGTTGGAAAACCGTAATTGTCGTTTGCACAAATTATATGTATATTGTTATCTGTTATACTGGGATCTATAGTGTAGTATTTAAGATAGTTTTAGAAATGCAATTTAGACAAAATATTCATTAAAGTTTTGAGGTCTTAATACAGGGAGTATCAGAGTTCATGCTGCTCAGTTGTGAATTTAGTCTTTAAGTATGATGTGCGATCTTATCGAATTACAATATTAGTAGAGATTTTAAAATAAAATCTCATTATGAGCAGTGTCTACCATCTCTATGCATTAATCTTACTTTAATAGATGATCTATTAGCCATTACCCCATAACGAGCAGGGTAGAAATCGCGAATAGAAATTCCTACGATGTTACTAGGAAACTGATAATGCAGCATTAGTATAGACAGACATACATACATATGTATATAATATTTTGCGATATTTACATATATATATATATATATATATATATATATATATATATATATATATATATATATATTTTGTGACGTTGACTCATGTAGGAAAAAAGCTACTTTGCAATCATAATATATAAAATTTATTGATTTTTCTCATGTAAGGAACAGATATATATATATAAAAAATTAATGGAATATATAAAAATATTTTGCTTGCATATAAAGGGTTTTAGTAAAAAAATATATATTACATCTAAATACTTCAATTAAGATTATATTCTTTGATAATATTTGCAGCAATAACTAGTCTTTGTATTTCTGATGTACCTTCATAAATTTCCGTAATACGCGCATCTCTGTAATGACGTTCTGCCGGCATATCAGTAACGTAACCCATACCACCTAAAATTTGTATACATTGATGAGTACAAAAAGTAGATGTTTCAGATGCCGACAACTTTGCCATAGCTGCTTCCTAAACAGGAACAAGAAAATTATTGATTACATTTAAGCTTAATTATTTTGTTTTGTCATACCTTTGTATAAGGTTTATTATTATCCTTAAGTGCGGCTGCTCGCCATGTTAATAATCTTGAACTTTCTAATTTTAGTGCCATGTCAGCAATTTTTTGTTGAATTATTTGTAGCTTTATGATAGAATTACCGAATGCTTGTCGTTTTGCTGCATACTCAACCGCACAGTCCAGAGATGCTTGAGCTATGCCTAAAGCTTGAGCAGCAATGCCTATTCTGCCAGCATCTAGAAATGTAATTTAGTTACTACACTTTTAGATGTTGCATTTATATGGATGTTAGTTTATTTCATACCTAGAGTCATCATTGCTATTTTAAAACCCATTCCTGGTTCTCCTAATATATTTTCTTTTGGTAAGTTACAATCTTCAAATATTAATGAACAGGTACTGCTTCCATGAATACCTAATTTATCTTCTTTCTTACCAACACTGAGTCCTTCTGTAAGTTTGTCAATTATGAATGTACTTATACCTTTATGCTTTTTAGATTTGTCTGTTGTAGCAAACAAGATAATTGCATCCGATTCATATGCATTTGTTATCCATGATTTTGTACCATTAATTATATAATTAGATCCATTTAATTTGGCAGTAGTAGAAGCAGCACCTGCATCACTACCATTGCCTGGTTCACTAAGAGCAAAACATCCAATCTTATTACCATTTGTAAAAGGAGTGATATATTTTTCTTTCTGATTTTTACTACCAAATTTTTCTATAGGACCTAAATATAGGGAATTATGTACACTCATTATAACACCTGTACTGGCACAAGCTTTAGATATTTCTTCCATTGCAATAACATAGGCCAAATAATCAAGCCCAGTTCCACCTACATTTTCGGGAACTGCTATGCTCATTAAACCCAGTTCACCCATTTTTTTTATTTGTTCTTTTGGATAAAGATGTTTCTTGTCTATTTCTCCTGCTAAAGGCTTTAATTCTCCTTCTGCAAAATCCCTATAATAATATTTATTATAGAATAAATAAAATAAATTACATTGCAGAAGAAAAAAATATGTATTATAAGATTACAGATTGTAATTTAAAATAAATGTAATAAATCAGTTTGAGAGAGAGAAGCATTATCTTTACAGGAATAAAAATATTATAAGTAAATATATAAGTACCTGCATGTTTTGTGTAACATCTGATGAGTCTCTGATAGCATAGAAAGAGATGCAATATTTCGAGTAACATTATTATAGATTGTGGTTATATTTTGTGCAACTGCAGCAGAAAATTAATCATTAGGTTTTTATATCTTACATTTTTATCTCTAAAATAGCACTTTTTAAATGAAGACGTACCAAGTAACCTTATTTTGTACATTGTTACCAAGTTTCTTTAAAGTAACAATAATACTAATATTTCAACGTTTCAATACATTAATTAAACCTAGTCTTAATTAAATCATTATATTTAATAATTCTATCTATACTGCTTTATATCGGTGATAACAATGACATACACACATATGCAAGCTGAATTTGAACAAATTATAGCAGTCAATCTTTTACTAAAGAAATTATTTTTATATGTATATTTAGAACAAAACTTAAGTGATTATAGGTGAATAGTTATCTTCATTATACGTTACTTATAAAAATGTTTAATATAAATTTGAAAAATAATAAACTCTTAACTACGTATTATTTGCAGATGGAGGGACAACTTGATGCAAAAAAGAAAACGAAAAAAGATAAATATGGAGATAATAACAATAATTTATACATTGGAAAGATAAGTAGAGCCTCTTTTAGTATGCTCTTTTTTTATTTTAAATACTGTTTTTTAAGATCTGTTTTAACTAGATAAGATATACATAAGATAAGATATACATAATTAATTTAAGGTATTTTTGTAATATGCCTTTTTTATTTTAAATATGTAGCAACTTTTTATTTTTATGTAAATGAAATGTATTTTATGTATTTATGCTATACGTTGACGTTTTTCATAGTCATAAACAAGCTTCAAAATTGGCCATATTTTACCGCGATATATTCAACGGCAATAAACAATCAATATGTTCGCGGGAGTAATACGAAAATCTGCGCATGTACGGATAGTATTCCTGTTCGATAATAACTGGTTTGTTTTTTCAGCTCCAGACAGTGAACCATAGAAATTTAACGAATAACAATAGGAATTTCTATTGAATAGAAATCAGAAGATGTCGAATAGTAAATGTGTTAAACAGTTACGCAAAAATTATGTTAAAGAACAGCAAGAAATGTCACATTCGGAAAAACTACGATTAATAGATGATGAGTTGAATGCATTTTACAAGTAAATTAATTTTCTTTTATGTATATAGATATAGCTTTTCTATCTAAAATTTGTATAATATTGGTTCTTATTAATGTTTTTAGCTTTGTTCCAAAGAATGACATATTTTTGTATTGTTCATATGTAAACATATTGTTCACATGTTTGTTATTAATCTTTTATTAACTCTTTACATTATCCAATTATTCTTTTACCAGTATTTTATATATTATATACATGGTAAAATATTTTTAATATATTAATTATATTACATTACATGATTTTAATTAATTAACATTATATTTCATATGACTGGTTTGTAGATATTGTCAACAGGCTGGTTTCACAGAAGAAGAAATGGATATTATTTGTCAACCGTTGGTGGCTGCAATGCGACGTTCTTGGCTACAGCTTGTTTTCCGTGGAACGCTTGTTCTGATTGTCCTTGGAACTTTAGCTTGTCTAGCAGCCCAACTTGATTTTGTTGGAACACATTTTACTGCAATCAGTCGTCTTTTACTTATCAAAGTTCTTCCAATTTGGAACTGGCAGCCCTTGTACTATGAAAATTGTATGATCAATAATCCTTTTTATAACGATTACATGATAACAGAGGAAGACTGCGTGGTACGATTATTAATATTGATTTAGATATTACTTTAAATAATGTTATAAAATGTATTTCACACAGTTTATTTTTCTATAAATGATTAATTCCGATATACAGAAAGTATTGAAAATATTTCCAGAAACTAGTCATTAATCTTTTCAAAAATTATATTTGCAGACTTGTGAAGCTCTAGAAACCATTGATCGTTTGTCAGATGTGAGATATCGCAATCTTGTTGATAATTATTTGAGTAGGGATGCACCTGCAATTATTACAGATGCAATGGACTCTTGGGCAGTTATGAACACAGATTATTTTTGGTTTGATAATATCACTCATGTAAGTACAAAAGAAGATATATTTTATAAAAGTATTGTATTTTTCTCTATTCTGAGAAAATAAATACATAATTCTAAGATAAACAATTTCATGTACATTAAACAAAATAGATGATATATATTTTATCTACAGCTTTATTTAGAAAACGAACGCTTAATGGAAACAGTACCTTGTGCTTTAACTTCAAATCTGAGAACTGGTTCGTCCGACTTGGCAGCATTTTTACGTCGGGTACATTCACCTGAAGTAGCTAAATGGTTTGTCCACTGGCAAAATTGTGACATCAATGCGGTGAAGGTGTTGAGAAAATATTATCAACGCCCGTACTTTCTTTCAAGTACTGTCTCACCAGCACATTTTAATTGGGTCCTTATGTCTTCGGATTACAATAGTCCAAGTTATAAAAAGGTCGAACTAGATTCGGGTCTCATAGCTCTAGCTCAATTACGGGGAGCTACGCAACTTCGTTTGACTCCTATAAATCCTTGCAATAGTTCTTGTCCCGAACTAATAGCAGATTTGCATCAGGGCGAGATGCGTAAGTTGAATAATTCGTTGCACAGTTAGACTTTTGATGGTAGAAAAATTTAAATTAATAAACGTAATAGAACAGACTAAGCACTGATGACATTGATTTTAGTTGTTTTTACTAATTTAATGTGGACTTTGGAATACGCGCCGATGAGAGGATTAGACAACATCGCAATCTTGACTGAAACCGTCTGGGAGGAAGATACATAAACTATAACACTTTTCTCTTTATATTGCGTTAGTCCATGATATTCTGAATCCAAGTATATATCGCTTAATTAAATTATATGTACATGTACTCATTCTGCTACAGTGCATAGTTCACATTAAATAAAGTATTCTCGCTCATCAGATACGTGTATACTTATTTTATAGGTCGACCATTTTCTACTTTACGATAGCACGTATAAAACCTTTTATTTTACTATTCTATCGGAGGTTGAAGAAAAGGACTTGACGAGGATACCAAAAAGTAACAACAAACAAGATTCGTTTTTTATTAATTAATCGTTTATAATAACATTGTGTTTTTTGCTGATTTTTTTCTTTTGTAGCAGTTTTTCCGATATTTCAGTTGGGCTAACAAGAAATAGATTGTTATGCACCGATTCATAGAAAAAACAAAGCGCAAGATTACTGAATGACAAACGTAGCTGGCGATTCGACATGCTTAATCGATGCGATAATTTGTTATATTAAAAGTTGTATGAGTGTATATAATCGATTTCTTCTTTTGCGCTACGTTCTGTTTATACAATCTTAGGGTATCGATGCAAGAGAAGGAATGACAATAATTGGCGCCTACCTAATAACACCATCGAAGTATGTTCCTCGGGTCTTCTATTCCGCACTCTGCAACTACTTCTTTTCAACTCATTTTCTTCTCAAACCAACTGCCCTCTCTGATTTTTATTCATTATATCATATGCACCGATATACACACACGCACACGTATGCACATTCTTCCTCTTTTCTTTCTTTATTCTATCTTTCCATAAAGTGTTTTCATGGAACAAAGTTCTATGATTCCGAAGAGAGCTTTAATCTCGCATCGAAGATTAACACTCATCGCTAATATCTGTTGGAATATCGTGTATTATTTAACTAACCGTTATCTAAATCGAAATAACGCATGTACATCTATTTTTCTCAGGATGTGGAAAACACTTTTCTGAAAGAGAGGTTTCGGTATGAGACCTAACACCGATTACTTTATTTATTTATTTGTTTTCATCGAATTGAAAGGATTTTCCACGCGCTTCAGACGGTCTTCTCAGCGAAAGAGGATCGACGATCGAACGAACATCATTCCGCGATCGATTTATTTAGGACATACACATACGCATCATCCTCGGCACGGCTTATATTTGCAATTCATATTGTATTAGCTGTCGCGGTATCAAAAGATTGTTTTATACGAATCCATTCAACGACTAAATTTATAACAATGACAATGTACAAGTGAGATACTACACAAAAATGAGCGTAGACAACGAACGAAACGATTTCGTGGTATCTAAGAGAATCCAATTTTCTCTCGTTTATTATATTTCCCCACACTTTTTCATTTAATTTCTTAGAGCGTTATTTATGTTTAGTCTGCGCTTGTTTTTTTCTTTTTTCTTTATTTCGTTTCGTTTTATTTTTGGTAAATGTTTAAATAAAAAGATTCGACTAAGTATTATTCGTTAGTTCCTAATCATGTTCGACCGTTGCATTGCGTCAGCTTATTGTTCCTGTTGTTGTTAAAATTATTATCTCCTAAGATTTGGTCTGATCACAAAGAGAGAAGAGACAGAACTTAGCTCTCGATTCGTGGGATACTTGAAATGGGTTTTTCCCTCGCGTTACATTCTTTGCTTCTTTTTAATTAATACTACTTGCATATTTTTTTTCTTTTTTACTTTTGCTTTATGATATCTAACACTTAACGATAATAGATGAAGATCTCCCCTTAACTCTCTGTTCCAATATTCTTTTTCGTACATACTCAATGCGGCTATATTTTGCAGTGATTCTGGATTTCTCATACATTTCCGTTTGAATCGCTTTAAACTCGTTTCGCTACGTGACTTATCGCTATGAAACTCAACAATGAAAGATAAGGAAAGAAAATAAAACCGTCAAAGAGATGGAAGATGAACGTTACAAATTTGCTAAGTAATATTCAGTTAACACATTCACTACCATTTGAACCAAGCTTTTATTTACGGGCTACAGATCGTTTGTCTGTTTTTTTGAAAAAAAAATTTCGTTTCCCTTTTTATAGATATATAGAACGTTCCGTCAATTTTCTGCCATCGTTGCGAGTTAATTATTGTTTTCGTTTACATTTTCCGACGGATCGGTTGGAATTCCCAAATTGGTAGCTTTCGTCGATCGATCCTGACACTGGTAGCGAACGTGTTAAGCGTTTGAAGATCTTAAATGTCACGTCAGTCTTTTTTCTTTTTTTTTTTTTCTTTTTTCGTTTAATCGCCTGAATCAACATTTCACATTAGATATGTTCACAGCAAAGATTCATAGGAATTCTGACATCAATCGCGAGTTTACTCCGAGATCACGCAAGGGGTTCTATCGGACAAAGATGAAGGAAAACGAGTTTGTTTCTCGCCCGATCCATTGGAATCCACTAAATCAACATTTAATCGTTAAATGTTCAAGAATATCAATAAATTACATGACGACGGCATTCTAATAACAGCTTGACACTAACCTGGTAAAATTATTATTTACGTAACGCTACATTTCCTTCCAATGGATCAAACGACGTCATTGATAAACGCGTTTCAAAGAACAGCATCGAAAGCGTATTTATCCGTTCGACTGGATTTTTTGATTCAGATATACTTTTTGAGTTTTCGACGTTCGCCAGAATACAGGTCGAACGAGATCGACAAAGTTGATTTTGCAATTTCGTGGCGTTAAATCGAACACGGAAATCGAGCAAGCATTACACATTACACATTTCGCGGCTTTTGGTCGATGACGATACGACGATGGCTGGAACCGCGATCGTTGGAACGTTGCTTAATCATAATCACCTACAGTTTCCAAATGCGTATTGTAAATATTAAGAAAAACGCTTTTATTCGTCTGGCTTTTCCATTGTGCCGCGAACAAAGCAGAAAGAAACACTTTTACGGAACTAAGGGAAACGAATCTACGTTTGAATAGCCGAATTTGGTCTCTCGAGAAAATGTCGTTTGGTCCATAGTCATAGTATACACAGTTCCTGTAACTCTTGCTCGTTAAACGTTATGCGATTCATCGTGATCGACATTGCAAAAACAAGAATCACGAACCAATTGTATAATTACGAGTCTGATGGTAACTACTACACGCGGAGGTGGTTCAAACACGTGGTCCAGCAAATAGTTCTTCACAATTTAATTGATTAACTCAATAGTTGATCTTCCCGATGAAAGATAAGAACGAAATATCGTGGTAATCGGAAATTAGGATTTGGGAAAATGTAAGTCGATTTTTTGCATTCGAATTTGTTACTCGGACAAATGTAAAGAAGAAAGTTTTCGTAAAGAATGGAACTGAAACTCAAAGCTTGATACTTGGTGAATAAAATGAAGCTTAATTGGGCCGCGCGTCTGACACCCTGATAATTAATTCCTAGATCGCACATCTTTCACCGCTTATTACCGCATCTGTCGACACTCGATTAACATGAACGGACGAGAGGCAACTATCGGTTCCAAACAGATATACCCGCGATATTTAATAACAATTATGACCAATTTCGTTTATGTTTCCCAAAGTATGATACCGGCAAAAATGACATTTTTGTAATTTGTCACGTTTCCTTCGCCTTGCTAAGGTTTCTTTATGTATATTTATATTTATATATATATATTTATATCACGGCGAAAGAAAAAGAACAATCGAAGGTAAGGATACTTTGTACAAAATACGATACAAGTAGCGATGTAACAACACTTTGCAATAGTTAAATATATGTATATGTATGTGTATATATATTTGTATGCATACATACCTTTACGTAGATATATCAATAACCAATACATATATACGTATACGTATGTACGCATATCTGTATATGCATATGTATATATTTATATCTCATTACCGTAATATACGTATGCTATGATCTCTCATATTATCCCCCTCCTCATTCCCCCAAATATATTCTTTTGTCGATCGAATTCACATACTCCATCCCCCTCGGAGCGATATTAATTAATTTATTTATTTATTTGTTTTATTTATATATTTATATATTTATATGTTTATGACGTAGTTCAGTTTGATCCATGAGTCGTCCTATTATAAATCTTCCGGTCGATTATTACATTAACACGTGTTTCTTAATATCGTCTGACTTCTGTCTTGTAAAATGGTTTATTTATTTCGTAGTCGTGCTCGCGACCATGACAAGCAGCGACTGTCCAGTTTACAAATGTCCTTTACGAATGATCCGCTTGCATCGCGTTAATCTATTTGGCTATTGTTATAATAACGCGCTTACTTCCTTCCTTTCGTCTGTTTATGTTAATGGTTTAACGTAAAGTTTGGTTGTACACCTTAGGACAGGAAAATGAAACATCAGGCGAAGAAAGACGGAAAGAGCAAGGAAAACCAAATGACAGAGAATAAGAACAACAATCTTTCCTGTGCTTATGTCACGTAAGAGCTTCTTCTAACGCGAGATTTAGATAACAGCCTGAACTCCTGAACTACGAAATAAAGTAAATGGTTCTATCTTTCCCTTTGTTTTTAACAAATTTGTCAACTTCGTGCAATCTCATTTCAGTCCACTTACTGCCTTTTCATATATATGTATACATAAAATATTATTAATCTAATTAATACTTAATATAATAAGAAGAATTAATTCATTGGAATAATTGATGAATGATTCTTTTTTAATAATGATCTGATTATGTACTGTCATTCGATTGCTTCTATCCCTGTAGTTTGTTCGGAAGTGCTCCGTTGTGGTCAAAAATTTCAGCATTCCAATTAACGCTAAAACCGGCTACGTGACATCTAGACAAACGATACTATCGTATACAAGGAGGAAGTAGTAGTAAGGAAAAAACATAACGAGGAGAAGATGAAGGATCAGAAGAAAAAGAGGAATAAAATAGAAAAAATCGAACCAAGATTGTTCGTTATTTTCAGAACTCTGCGCTTCTGTTCCAAAGAACAAGAGTCGCGTTAATCATGCGATTTCAGATTGATTACACTCTCGGACGATGTGCGCGAGATATATTAGAAAAACGCAAGCGAACATTCCTCTTTTCTTCTCATCTTGTTAATATAGGAAGTTGAATCAACGAGAAAGATACATTATAAATAATTCGATCTTCTCGTGGGCGATCAGAGCTTTTCGATCGAACGATCCAGCAATGGTTGCGAAAAATAATAACAGTCGTTATAGTAGCAGCAACAGCAGCAGCAGCAATGGCAGCACACATTTACATTTGTATTCGTTCAGGGATATTCGCGAAGACCTGAGCGGACGAGACGCGTTCGTACGTTCCTGCCTGCGCGTCTCGCTTACTCTCCGCGAACGTTTCTCCGTGTAATACTGATTTACAAACAGACCTCCC